CAACAACAACAACAACAACATATATATATATATATATGTAGTCCAGGTACTGCGCTGTAGATTAATGCACTGAGTTCACTGCAAGGTCAGTGGTTCAAGTTCACCAGCTGCTCATAGGAAACCCTGTACAGGGTTGCTCTGGGTCAGAACTGACTCAATGACACTTAAGAAACAACATACATACATATATATATGTGTATGTATGTTGTTTCTTAAGTTAGCCATCATGTCAGTTCTGACTCATATGAGCCCCTTGTAGGGTTTCCAGACTTTAAATCTTCATGGAAGCAGAAAGCCTCATCCTATAGTGTCACACAAGGAGTCCTACTGATGTTAGGACCCCCTCCCCATGAATTTAAACTTCTCAGTTCAAATCCCAGATTCAGCAATTTACCAGCTGTGTGACCTTGGCAAGTTAGTTCATCTTTTGAATCCTGTATCTTTATCTGAAAAACAGGAATAATATTAGTACCTGACTCACAGGACTGTTGTGAAAAGAAAACGCTGATAAAGAGCTCAGCACTCAATAAATACTAGATGTTATTTTCATTCAAGAGACCAACTTTCTGGCTTGGAGAATCTGTGGGCTGTAGTAGTAGGTGATTCAAATGGAAAGCATATCAGGTTGTGGAGGGAGGACCTTGAATATTAAGCTGAGAAGTTTGAATTATGTTCCATGGACATAGCAGGGCATTGAGAAGTTAAGAACAGATAAAAGGAGCTCACCGCCCTTCTATGAGACACAGAGTTGGGAGAGGCTGACTGGGCATAGGGAATGGACTCTGAGCTTGGACCTGCCTCCCCCACTGCTCTTCGCCAGAGTTGTCATCTCTCCCCTTCTTGGAACTCAAATGTTTTTTGTGTCACCCAAAAGAGAGCAAGATAAAGCAGAACTGTCTAGGATGTTGAAATCGTATTTCTACAAAGTAGTGAGAACTCAGAGTGAAGGCTTGTTTCAGGTGGGGAAATCATTTAAAGAGTTGTTGATTTTTTATGATACTAGTTAAAATAACTAACTTTGTGATTCAGAGTTGATGGACGATTTAAATTCATTAACCATATACTCATATATCACAGCTGTTAGACTACATACTAAGAGGATAGCTCCAGCACTCTAGAAACTGAGGAACTGACAAGATGAGACCAAGAGCATAGAACTCATTTTATGTAGCTGCTTATAACTTAACAAGGTGTTTATGTGTTTGATATAGGCCAATGAAGGAGAATTTGCAGACATGCAAAAATGCACATAACATTGGGATCTATACAATTATAAGCAGAATTGTGTTGTTTTAATCTAGTAAGGTCTTCTCTGGAGTCCTGGTGTAGCGCTATAGGATAAGTACTCGATCACAGGGTCAGTTTGAACTGCATGGTATTTATTTTTATAAAGCAGAGATTATACTGCCATAACTGTATTACCTATATAATATAGCTTATGAGAAATTTCCTTGTCATGGAATATAATTTTAATTTTTCATCATAATGGCTGTATAATATTCTATTGTAAAGTTATTTTTATTACAATAAAATAGTAGGATATTCAGGTTACTTCAATATTTGGCTATTATAAATAATTATCTTTTCATCTGATATTTTTATTGGGATATATCATAGAAGAAAAATGATTTTAAAATAATAAACACTTTAAAGCTCTTCTGATGTCATGCCTTATTGCCTTCCAAAGAAGCTGTGCCTATTTATTCTCTGTTGTTGTTGTTAAGTGCCGTCAAGTTGCTTCTGACCCATTGCGACCTTGTGTAGGGTTTCCGAGGAGCAGCTCATGAGCTTGAACTGCCGACCTTGCAGTTCAAATGGCTTTGCAATCTGACACATTAACCCACAGCACCATTTGTTCTCTACTGGTACTATATTGGAGTCCTGGTGTGGCACTGTAAGATAAGCACTGGACCACAAGGTCATTTTGAACCGCAAGGTCAGCAGTTCAAATTCACCAGACACTCCTCAGAAACCCTATATAGGGTGGCAATGAGTCGGAATCTATTGGACAGCACTCAACCACAACACGAAGCACTAAATTGGAGTCCTGGTGTGATGTAGGATAAGCACTGGATTGTTAACTGCAAGGTCAGCTGCTCATCCCCACCAGCGGATCCTCAGCAACCCTATACAAGGTCACTGTGAATTGGAACCAACTTGACTTCACTTACCAACAACAACAATTTCATTTACCAACAACACCAATAACAGGCACTAAACTACTCATAAGGGAGGACTTTCAACCCAATGTCTTCCTCAATTTATCGTTTTTGTTTTAACTTTGAAGACAGAGTGTAAAATAGGAGGATTGTGATTTGTGAAAAACATGAAAGAAGAATATGGGGCAGATAGAGAAATATTGAAATAACAGAGAAAAGTAGAGGGGAATTCCTGCAGTCTAAAGGAAGACTTCCCATATCCATGGGAGATATGGGTGTGTTCAGGGCAGGAGGAGGGACTTGGGGTATGAGAAAATGAGTCTTCTCAGGACTAAACAATCTCTGAGGTCCCCTCCAGCCCTCATATTCCACAGTTGTTTGTTTTCTAGAGAGATGGGGAAACAGAAGAAACAGAGTCCTTAACTGATTGGCCAGTCTCATCTTTGAATAAAGTCCTACCTTCCTTTTCTACCTAAAATTAGCCACTCAACCCAGTTCTCATCCTTCTGCCCACTCATCTCCTCAGAGTCATGTAGACTCCATTGAACTCGTCTCCTCTGAAGGGCCACCACCCCAGACGGCAGGGTACTTCTTATCAAATCACTGTCACAAACAAGACTGCAACCTCTCGGGCTTTATGAAATAGTGGCTAGAGGTTGATTCTTTGCCAGCACATGAGCATTTGATGAGCTTAGCAAGAGCAGCTTTACCGCTTTCCTCAAAATAACTGATAAGCTTGTAAGGAGAGCAAGTCGCCGAGTTCTGCATTTGTTTTCCATCAGGCAAAGACAGCTCTTCATGTGCAGAGATTAGTTGCCCGGGGAGAGAATAAGCGAGGCAAAAAGCAACCAGGAACATAGAAAATCATTTCAATAAACTTATGTCATGCGGTTTTTTTCCTGCAGCAGCTGTCTCACTGTCTCTTTCAGGTGGCCTTAATTTGAACCCTTTAAAGTTTCTGATTTTTGATTGGAATTGGAGAGATCAGAAGCTGAGGAGGCTGATGGACATTCCCGAGGTACCATCTAACCAGAAATTGCCTTTAATAATTTTTTTTTTTTCCAATTTGAACTTGAGTTCAAACACAGTAATAAAATCTTTGACATGGGGAGCCAGCACCTTCTGACTTTTGCAGTAATTTCTATCTTAACTCTATCTTAAGGTGGCCACCTCGACCCCTTACACATGACTGTATTCTTTCCACATGCTTTATAGGAATTGGCTTATTTTCTTGATTAAATGACCAGTAGCCTCTGCCTCACCACAGGCACATCTGTACTGTACTTCAGAGAATCAGGATGGTCTGAAGGAGCTGGCACACTGCCTATACCTTTCTTTGCAGACACAGTGCTCTTTGCCTGTCATCCTGACACATGCACTATTGGTAGGACACAGACTCCCTCATTAATGGTCCACATCTGCACATCCCCAAAAACATATATGCTGAATGTGGAGAGCTATTTTGGGTTCTTGGGATAGGGAAACTCTTTTAGTGTCTTAGTGAATTAAAATGCAATGATTGAATACCTTTGTGGGCATAGTATTAGCTCATTTTATATATATGAGAAATCCATTATCATCATAATGTGAAAAACTGATTTGCCACCCACTGTGTTATTGTGGAGCTGATTTTCCACTCTCTCTGTTGGAGAGAAAAGGGTTTGCACAACTACAAACATGACTGCCAATCACCCACCTGGAATAAATAATGGCAGTAACAATTGAAGAGACTTGGAAATGGTCTTTCAAATGCCAAATGAACTGATTTGCCATATAAAGCTCTATAGTCTCAGGATGGCCAAACCTGCTTATAAATGATCAAGTTCAAAGACAATTTACTTAGTTCCATATACACATGCAAGGGGGCTGCAAAAAGCTTGTGGAAAAATCTAATGAAGAGATAATGGAATTTTCTAAGAACTTTTTAAAGCCCCCTCCTACATCCACATATATATACTTACATCCACATATATATACTTACATCCACATATATAAACTTACATCCACATATATATACTTACATACACATATATATACTTACATACACATATATATACTATGCACTGAATTGAGTTTTTTGTTGTTGTTGTTTCTAATTGCCTTAACTAATTTCATATTAGCAAGATGAGGCTATACTTGCTGGTTTTAGTTATACTATTAAATGTGGCTATTTCTCCACTAATTTTTTCATTACAGCCAAAGGCAGATAACAATTTTGGGGTTTTTTCTGTATCCCACTTGTCACCCATAGTTATTTTTATTATATTGTTATCATTATAACTGCCTAAATGGCAAGGAGTCTACAGAGTGTTGAATTTATTTGCCAAGACCATCTTTTCTTAACCTATTTTTCCTCCTTCTTGTTTTTAATTTGTTTTTGTTTTTGTTTTTTCTCATTTAGATAAGAAAGGAGATTTTTGAACTTCTGGAAATGGGAGTACTCAGTCTGTGCAAATCAGAATCTTTAAAGCTGGGCCTTTTCTAAGTTTGGGTACAAGTAAAGATCCTAATTTACCAGTAGAACTTACATCTCTGTATAATGACCTGGCACACTGGGAGCACTCAGTAAATATCAGCTACTATTTTATTAACTACATCAGCATATGGATCACTGGGAATGTTTGACTTTGTGGATTCTTTGACCAAAATCAATCTTTCTGCCAACTCCCTTTCTTGTACAATAAAGTATCAGTGGTTTGCATGTGAATTTATTAAGCAGAGTATGTTTTTCTCTCACCAACTGGTCTCTGATGTGATTGTGCAGGAGAATGAAAAGAACAGCAGTGTGATTTTAGGCAAGCCCCTTCCCTCTCTGAGCCTCAGTTTGATCACTCATGAAATGAGAGGTATCTCTCACAGGACTGTGGAGGAAGCCGTGAGATAGTACCTGTGGAACAGCTGTGTAAATTGTGAAGCATGGTTCTGGCATGAAAGATAACAGAGGTAGTGGTATAAAGAATTGCAAGTTAATGTGGTACTTTGTAAATGTGTAAAAGACAACAGTGTAACTACAGCTTTCTTATTTGTTGTTGTTTTTTTTTTTAACTCTAAAAAATTTTAGACTGACAGAGAAGTTGCAATAATATTGCAAAAAATTCCCACATACACCCTGCAATGTTAAACATCTTACATGACCCTAGTACAACTATCAAAACTAAGAAATCAACATTAGTAAATTATGATTAATCTACAGACTTCATTTATATTTCACCTATCTACTGATGCCCTTTTCTATGTAGGATCCAATCCCAGATTCGACATTGCAGTTGATTGTCATACTTCCTAGTTGTTATTGTTAAGTGTTATTGAGTCAGCTCTAACCCATAACAACATTGCATAGGGTTTCCAAGGAGCAGATTGTAGGTTTGAACCACCAACCTTGTCATTAGCAGTCCAGTACTTATTCTACGTATTGCATTGGGCAAATCTGTTGCACAGGAACTTTTTAAAGTACTGAAGAGCAGAGATGTCAGCTTGAGGACTAAGGTGTGCCTGACCCAGGCCATGGTGTTTTCAATAGCCTCATATGGATGTGAAAGCTGGACAGTGAATAAGGAAGATCGTAGAAGAATTGATGCCTTTGAGTTGTGGTGTGGAAGGAGAATACTGAAAGTGCCATGGACTGCCAAAAGAACCAATAGATCTGTTTTGGAAGAAGTGCAACCAGAGTGCTCCTTGGAGGCCAGGATGGCTAAGCTTCGTTTCTCCTACTTTGGACACATTGTCCGGAGAGAACAGTCGCTGGAGAAGGATGTCATGCTGGGTAAGATGGAGGGTCAGAGAAAAAGAGGAAGACCCCTAATGAGATGGATTGGCCAGGTGGCATCATTGATGGTGTCAAGTGTGGCAGCGGTAGTGAGGTTGGCCCAGGATCGGACATTGTTTCGTTCAGCTGTGCATGGGGTCGCTATGAGTCGGTTCTGACTCGATGGCACCTGACAACAACAACAACAACTTATTCTACAGTGCCACACCAGGAGTCCTCATATTTCCTTAGTTTTCGCAAATCGGTGGCAGTTCCTCAGTTGTTCCCTGTCTTTCATGACCTTGACATTTTTCAAGGGTATTTTATAGAATGTCTCTCAATCTATCTCAATGATAGATTGAGGCTATGCTTATTTGGCCAGAATACCACAAAAGTACTATGTGCTTCTTGATGCATCATATCAATGAGTAAAAAATGATTTTATGTCTGATTGTTGGTTATGTCAGCCTTGCTCACTTGGTTCTGGTGGTGTCTGCCAGTATTCTTCACTGTAGTGTTACTATTTTACCCTTTATACTAAATAACGATCATGGAATATGTTATGGGTTGAATTGTATCGCTCCAAAAGATGTTAAAGTTTTAATTCCCAGTACCTGTGAATGTGGCCTTATTTGGAAATACAGGCGTATCTCGCAGATATTGTAGGTATGGTTCTAGACCACTACAATAAAGCGAGTATCACAGTAAATCGAGTCACATGAATTTTTGGGTTTTCTAGTACACATAAAAATTATGTTTACACTATACTGGAGCCTATTAAGTATCAGACAGCATTATGAAGAAATTTAAGATATTGTGAGAATAACCAAAATGTGACACGGAGACAGGAAGTGAGCACATGCTGTTGAAAATGGTACCGATAGACTTGCTTGATGCAAGGTTGCCAGAAACTTTCAAAAAAACACACTATTTGGGAAATGCAATAAAACGAGGTGAACCTGTATGGGCCTTACAATGTAAAGTTAAGATGAAGCCCGTATCCAATATTGTTCTTATTAAGTACCATCGAGTTGGTTCCGACTCATAGTGACCTTGTATAGAGTTTCCTAGAAGCAGCTAGTGAGTTTGAACCACCGACTTTTTGGTTAACAGTCCAGTGCTTGCCAGGAGTCCTATCCAAAATTATTTGTGTCCTTATAAGAAGACAAGAAGGGACACAGGCACAGGAATACACAGAGATAATGCCAAATGAAGATAGAGGTGGAGAGAGGAATGATGCATCTTTATAAAGCAAGGAATGCCTGGGCTACTAGAAGCTCAGAGAGAGGCATGAAGAGATTCTCCTTCAAAGCGTCTATGGACTCAATGCTGCTGACACTCTGATTTCAGACTTCTAACTTACTGACCTGTGAGACAGTACTTGCTGGGATTTTAAGCCACCCACCAACAGCCCTAGGAAATGGGTACAAGAAGCTTCATTTTAAGAGTCCTGGTATGGTGTTATAGGATAAGCACTGGACTGCTAATTGCAAGATTGGAGATTGAAGCCCACCAGCTGCTTCTCAGAAATACTATTCAGGGTTTCTATGAGTCAGAACTGACTTAACTGGTGCGTAACAACATTTAGGCTATGCAGATCACCTTTTTCTCCTCACACTTTTGCCCACTGATTTTTAGGAGCCACTGGTAGATCTTGCCCACAACAGTTATTATAGGGGCAATTTTCCCATTTCCTGCTACATCCTGTAAGCAAGAGCAGCTACATCCTGTAAGCAAGAGCAGTCCATTTTCCCTACTTATTTGTTTATTCAACTATTTATTTGCATAAGTATATACTCATGCTTACTTTATTTTGTGTGTTATAATACAACACTATGGGGTTTTATTGTATTGCTCAAGTTTACTTACTTTTTTTTCCACTTGCTTCAGTAGCCTTGGTTAGTTATACATACTATGCGCTGTTCACTATGTTCAAGGCTTCCACTTGAATAGTCTATCATGCTTACTCCTTGAAATAGTCCTATAGGAAAAGTGCTATTGTCCACATTTTACAAATGATGAAACTGAATCTCACGGAGGACACACACTAGTTTAGGTAGCAGACCTCCATCAAACCTATGCTCCTCATGTTCACTTCAGGGACCCACAGTTGCCTTTTGGAGACTCAGAAAGATGCAGCAAACAAGAGGTAATAAAGCAAACAGATGCCAATACTGATATGTAAAATTCCACCTTCAAATCTTGATTGAGGGACTTTAAACAGTCTGACAAGCTAGCAAATCAGACGCTTATTTTCACACAGTTCTAGAGGCTAAAAGTCCAGATCAGGGTCTTGGTATCCTGTCTTTCTGATGGTCTGTCTCCAAGTTTCTGGTGACTGCTGTTGATCCTTGGCTAACTTTGCTTTCAGACAATCCTCATGTGGTATCTGTATTTTCCATCCCTACCCCCATCCCCCGCCGTTACCTCCATGTCTGTCTGTCTCTGTGTCTGTTCAGCTCTTTTTATAAGACATCATTGAGAAATGATTGAGTATAGAGCCCACCCTTATGCTCCTGTGGTCTCTGTAACATAACAAAAGAAATCCCTATTTCCTACAGGATCACATTCACAGGTACTAGGGTTAGCATTTCAACATTGTTTGAGAATACAATCCACAACACCACTAGTACAAAATGAAATTTTATTCAAGTTGTAGCAAGACTGTTTCCTTAATATGTGAAATGTTCTTGGTCAATGGTAAGAATGAAAATGGATTGCATACCTTCCAAATACAGACATTCAATTTTCTGTTAAGTGACATATCTTAATCTGGAAAACCCATCAAGCATGACTATAAGAAGACAGATTTCCAAATTGAGACATTACAGCCATTGCTGTCAAAATTCAGACATCAAGGTGCTACTGACTTATAAAACTAAAAAATAGGAGAAAATCATAAACATTATACATATTATACATGTATTGTTGTTAAGGGCCTTCAAGTCAGTTACAGCTCACAGTGACCCTGTATAGCGTTTCCAAGGAGCCACTGGGTAAAATTTGTATAGGACTATGTATATGTGTTAGTATACCCACATATATGAGGAGCTTAAAACGTTTGTGGAAAAATTAAAATTATCTTTTAATTCCATTTTTCCACAAACTTTTTAAAGTCTCCTCAGAGTAAAAGAGGACGACCCTCAATGAGATGGATTGGCATAGTGACAGCAGCAAGGGGCTCAAACATAGGAATGATTGTGAGGTTGGTACAGGACCAGGCAGTGTTTAGTTCTATTATGCATAGGGTCACTATGAGTTAGTACTGACTTGATGGCACCTAACAACAACAACAACGTATACAACCAGTTTCTTATTCTATCCATATTTAGTACTTTTGAATCCCACAGCCATCAGAAAAAGGCAGAGAAATATGATGCAATCCTATGCAGTGACTAAAGAGAAATGAAAACAATGATTTAAAAAGCACTCTCTGAAATATCTGTTGTTACAATGACACAGCAGCTGCTAAATGCTAACAAATAATCATATCAAGGAGCTCTGGTAGCATAGTGGTTATGAATTGGGCTGCGAACCGCAAGGTCAGCAGTTCGAAACTACCAATTGGTTCTACGAGAGAAAGATAAGACTTTCTGCTCCCGTAAAGATTTACAGCCTTGGAAACCCTGTATAGGGTGGGTATGAGTTGGAACCGACTCCACAGCACATAACCAACCAACCAACCAACCATATCAATGTAGAACAGTGGTTCTCAACGGGAGGGTTTGCCCTCAAGAAACACAGAGGGAGAATTGTTCCCCAAGGGATATTTAAAATGTCTAAAGCCATGTCTGGATGCCACGCTGGGAGCCTACAGGCATCTGGTGGGTAGAGGCTAGGGAT